GCTTACTGCAGGTGTATTTTTTTCCTGGGGACCCTTCCATGCTGTTTCGTTGTGTCATTACCTGGCATGCTCTCCCAGCATTATGGTATGGTACCTCCATCCAAGGCTGTCAAGCTTTCTCCACAAGCTCTCTGGTAGCTCCCAGCAGATGTTTGACCTGGCAGAAGGCAGGGTTTTTCCCTCCTTTTAAGGAGTGATTGAGAAGACACAGATGTTTTAGTAGAAAAGGAGAAACTGATTTTATTTCCCTGTCAGACTTCATACATGTAGATGGAGGAAGTTCATGAGGATGAAAGTCATTAAGTCTGCTTTTTCTCTTACTGCTGCTTTTGTTGTTTTGTCTACTTTTCTTGTTACTGTTGGCTTTTTTTTTTTTTCTTTTAAGTTGTTGGAACTTGTGAGGGAAAAGAGAAGTTTGCAAATTGAACACGCCAGCAAAAATTGAGAGGGTTCTTCGTGATGTGTGCATTAATGTGGCCTCTGTCACCACAGCTGGAGGCACGATGCTGAGCTCATTGCCTGCCAGGTCACTGTGTGGTCAGCAGCAGGCAGTGGCACAGCTTGCTGCCCATGGCCAGAGCTGGAGCTGGTGCTCATCTGTGTGCCCTGAGGCATCTCCCGGTGCTGGATGTTGGTCTTGCTGCTGCTGGGGGTCTGCGGCTGCCCAAAGTCCTGGCCTGAGAAGCATGGTCTTGGTTTTTCTCTTTGTGTCACTTTTTGGCTGCTCGCTTTCTCCACCCTGCATGAAAGAAGCCAAAGAAGCACATGTTCAGTTCCTCAGCTTCTGGCTGTATTTAAAACAATTTAAAAAGCAGTTAATCACAGTCCTTAACGTTGCCCTGGCTGCAGTGGGCTGTGACTCCATCTCCCAACCTCCACAGTAGCGCGTAGTTGCAAGAGCCGCTTCCATAACTCATTGCCATGATCACCCTTGGGGTACCCTCAGTAGTTGGTTTCCTCAAGATATCCAGGAGTGTTAGCATAGCTGAGTCATGCTTTTCCAGTGTTGTTTTTTGACTTATGCACATCATTTTTTACAGTGAGGGTAGTGAAGCATTGGAGCACGTTGCCTAGAGATGGGGTGGAAACCCCATCCCTGGCAACACTGGATGGAGCTCTGAGCGACCTGATGTAGCTGTAGATGTCCCTTTTCATTGCAGGGGAGTTGGAACAGATGACCTTGAAGGGTCCCTTCCAGCTCAGACAGTTCTATGATCTAAGGGGAGCCTTGTTCTACCCCACATGGGGCTGTCATCAGACTTCAGTTGTGAGTAGCTCTTCTGGATGTTTAAAAGATCTATTCAGGGATGTGTAAATCTACCATAAAACTTCACCGTGGACCAAGAAATGGTTAGGGGATCTTAAGAACAAATGGAAGAAGTTTATGGAGTGGAAGGGAGGAAGGAGGGAATGATTTATTAATGCTTAAAATAATTGTTTGTGGATGAGTAGTTTTTGCATAGGCTGTTTATAATAATGTCTGTGAGGGCTGAAACTACATGATCTTTGTGGTGCTTTTCAACCCAGGCCATTCTATGATTCTAGATGAAGTGAGATTTGATACAGACATTCTCAGAGGAAGGGTCCAGAAAACAAAGAGAAGTTAAACAGCTTTTTTTGATGTTGTTAACTTTAGTCAGGCTTATGGGCTAATAGAAAGCATGGAGTTTTTGGAAAAACCTCAAGCCCTGAGCAAAGACTTATAACCTTGCAAAGTGAAGTAAGATTGCTTCTTGGTTCACGCTGCTGACAGATGAGAAGCCCAGCTTGGTGTACAGGCTGCTGTTGAAAGTAGAAAGGCCCACAGAAGATCATTACTTGCCCTGCACCGTGTACTGTAAGGGACCACAAGCAGGAGGCAGCCAGCAGAGCCAGGGGGTGGTTCTTAGGAAGGCCCTGACTTTCCCTTTTGCAAGAGCAAAGGCAGCTTGTATGCAGTGGCAATTCAAGCAGGGACGTGAAGTGCGGTGCAAAGATGCGATGATGGCTTGTGGTGAGCGGGAATGCCCCAGCCAGCAAGGAATGTATCAGCAAGTCTGTGGTAGTGGAAAAAGCCTTAATTATTCCTGCATAGGATAGATGGGATTCAAGCGAGGAGCCCAGTCCTACTTCTTAATAACCAGAATACTTTCAGGAAAGGATTGCAACACTGCCCAGAGGAGCAGAAATGTTGTGTAGCTATAGGCATTCACTCAGCACCGTGACTAATCTTCTGGAAACTCAAAGGAATTCCCTTAGAGAGGGAATGCCATGCATCACCCTCAGCCAAAAAAAGAAAAAGTCACGTGTTTCCTTGACATCACATCATGTTTGTGTGTTTTTACTGCTGTAGGAAAGTTCTTCGTTCTGATCACTGCATGCTTTCAAGTGTTTTGAGTATGGTCAAGGTGCAAGGATATTAAATTTGAGTAGTTTTGTTTGAACAGATCACAGAGCAATGGGGTCAGGAAGTACTTTTAGAATAGTTTCAGATACAGCCAGGGCCGCTTTCGTCATGTCAGTACAGTTACTTGCAGTGTGGATCTATTACTAGTGTACTTGAAAGCTGGTGGATTAGAGCAGGTGCTCTGGTAAACAAAAGGTTTTTTTTAGAGAACTCATTTTTCTTCAGCTTTTCTCATGAGTTAGTGTTCACTTACTGAGGTTGAGGATGAAAAAGACCACAGGGTACGTGAACAGAGCACATAAAGGCAGCATTGAACAGACAGCAAGAGCTTGGAAGCAGTGTGATCTTCTAGTAACTGGCTTTGCCTTTCTGCTACATCAGAACTGTCCCCCAGTTGCCAAGCAGCAATGTTCCCTTCTGCTCTGAAATCCTCAACGGACGTGTAAGCTACAAACAGCGCATGTGGGTATGTGCTGCTTCCAGTATTGTGGGATTGCTGGAGTGCCTAAATAAACAGCTTGATTTTTTTTTCTTTTTCTCCAAGCATGAAACCCCCAGTGCAGCATCTTTGGAAGAAGCTGCATGTCTAAGCTGACCTTGCAGAAAGCAGCACGTTGAAACATTACCTGGAGTTGCTGAAAGAGATAGCAGTAAATAACTGGCTATCAAGCACAATTTTCCAGACAGTGGTTCAGTGACAGTGCTCCAAGGAAAGAAGCTTCTTGTGTGATATATGAAGGGTGTATGTCACCTGAGTGGAAAACAACAAGGAGATTTCAGAAGATACTTAAAAAACATTGATCTCTATAAGTTTAGAACAGGAGATGAAAGTCCTTCCTTAGTGAGAGTCAAACACGAGCCGTCAAAACTGTTGTTGCAAATCTTGCAGCAGCTTAGAATTCACTTTTGCTGCATCTCTGCAGGACGTGAATGTTTAGAGGGGAGCTCTTCACCTCCAAGCAAGACAGCATCCCTGTAAATATGATGAGATAAAGTGAAAAGGATTCATGCTTCTTATTTTATTACTTGCTTTTCTGTAACTTGGTGTAAATTGTTTTAAATAAAAACACACTGGCTTAAGGAATTTCTGTGGGACTTTTTGACTGTAAATGGGAGGGTAGAACTGTGCAATGAGATGTTTATCTCTACTTGTATACTTGCATTTCGTCTGTCTACTTTGTCTTTCTTGTGCAGCTGTTGAATGTCAGGTAGTCCACAATTAATGTTTGTGAAACAGATCAGTAAATTGTTAGAAGCATTCAACAGCAACATTGATGAATTTTTCCTTTAATGATCAAACGTTCAAAGTGTCGGGCAATGACTGCCTTCAAAAGGAAAATAAAAAAGTAATTTGCGTAATTACAAAGCCCTTGTACAGCATTTGAAAGGGGGTGACAAATTGCTAGCTTTCACTGTACACATGGATGTGAAGCAGTCTTTGTAGAACTCCCACTGGCTGTCAGCACTCTGAATTCTCCATGCATGCATGCTAGACTTTCTCCCTCTGTGCTTCTCCAAAATGTACTGCACCAGAGGCTGGGCACCCAACACTAAGAGGTGAGCCCCGAATTCAGAGGCAGGCCTTGATCATGGCTATATCAATACCACCTGTGTTATTTGGAGAGTAGTGATATCCATGATGTGTGGGCAAGATTCAAGGCAGTGCATGTTCTTACAGTATTTTTAAATGCCGTCTCTCATTGCTTCTGTAGTTCAGCAGAATACCTTTTCTTTCTGATTATCTCCCTTTTCATAGAATCATAGAATCACAGAATGGCCAGGGTTGGAAGGGACCTCGAGGATCATCAAGCTCCAAACCCCCTTCCACAGGCAGGACCAGTTTATAGTTACTCATTAAACTGACAGTGAAAATGTAGATGTGGTACAAGGTTCTTTCACATACCTTGGTTTAGCAATGATTTTATCTGAGTAACTGGTCTTACAGGGCAAAATCCTGCTGGGACAACTTGTTAAACGCAGTTCAGTGAACAGGTTTTAGCCTCTAGAGGCAAACTTAGGAAAGATTCAGTAAGTGAGGAAGTTCGGTTTGCTTAGCAAGTGGCCTTGCTGGAACAATTATTGATCAGTCTCTATTAGCCCAATTTCAAACAGTTATGCATGTTTTCCTCCTATCTCCCTCAAATTTCTTGAGGGTTGTCTTTGTTACTGTATCTCATTTGTAATACTGTAAATCCCTGGGAATGGCTATTGCTGAAGTCATGGAAGTTGTTGATACTGAAGAACTGAGTTGATGAAAAATGATAGAAATGTTTATACTCTTTCCCTGTGTTTCCTGTTCAGAAGGTCCTTCAGTGTTAACTTAGGGTATTGAAAGTGTAATGATCAATGCAGTTTCTTTGTGAATCAGATTCAGATGTGCACGTAAGGCAGAAACCAGAAAATCTCTTTGGGACAGCTAAATCAAAGCAAAGTAACACTGTTTCTCTGTTCCTTTGTTTTATTATATCCTGAGTGCTCTTTCATCTATACTTCTATAAGCTTCTTCCAAGTGTGAAACTGAAAGGAGAAGTTCAGTTCTGCTGTTACTTGTGTTTCTGTAATGCTTGCAATGGAGTGATTCACTCTCTTTTTCTGTTTGTTTTTTTTCTTACAGTATCAAGCTTTTGGCTGTGCAGGAGCTGCTTGATAGAGAAGCACTGGAAAAGGTATTTAAAATGTGTTTAGTACAACAGTAGTAATAGCTTGGAGCTCTTAAAGCACTCTGTGTTGGTAGGATTTCTCAACACTGTGGAAAATCATGTGGCATAAAACAGGACCTCTTTCGACCTCCATAGCGCACGTAGTTGAGGGGGCAACACTTTGTCCGAGTTGTCTGGTTTTGGTGTTTTTAAAATAATCTTGGAAGGTTTACAGCCACTCCTCTTGCAAAACAGGATAATATTACCAAACTGTCATTGTGTGCAGTAGTCAGCTTCTCTGGCATCTCACACCCAGTATATTTCTCACCTTTTCGTCAGACGTTCACCTCCCCTTGGCCCAAGGCCTCCAAAAACAAGGCTTAGCCAGAACAAATGACCTGGTGGGAATTGCTCTTTTTGCCATTATTTGAAGCTGTGCAGGAAGCTCTTCAGAAAAACTCTGCAACAGAAAAAGGATCTTTCTAAATTGAGCTCTGAATATTTGACATCTGCTTTTATACATTGCCAAGTTTAAAGAATTTAAAAGCCCAGTTTACCCCTCTGGAAAACAACACTATGGAATTATGTAAGTCTAAAGAAATTTAGTTGTCTTTATTTGTTAAATACAGGAGGCTAAAAGTAGGCTAGAACAAGATTCCTTGCTCTTGCAGGTTCAGGCTTGAGAATGCATGCTGAGTTTTATATTTGTAAATCATATATCTGCACGATATTGCAGGAATGCAGAATATTATCAAATAATATTTTAGTATTCATTACAAGATTGATTTTCAGCTGGTTTCTTTTTTCATGGGAAGATTTCTGTAAGTTAGCTGTGGACATAATAACCTAAAATTATTGCACCACAATTTCTAGTGTGTCATTATTTCCTTGGCTACAGTGATCTGTGTTGTTTTCCCAGTATATATAGTCTTACATATTTTATTATTTTTACGTGTTTTTCCCACCTTGCCTACTGAGAGTGATCCCACCATGAGAAGCTTTGTGGTATGCAAAAAGATAACTTGTTAAATTTCCAAAACCCTGATGTTTGTCAGTGGAAATTTGGCCAAAAGTCTTCCAGTAATTTTTGCATTTACATTGAGAGTTGCGAAGACAGAAGTGGTGATAGGGTATAATTATAGGTCCTGGCTCTGAACCAGCTTGTCTTACCCTTGGTGCTGCTCATCAGGCCTTTGTCTCTGTGGAGTGCTGCTGGCACCTGTAAGTACCACAGCAGCCCATTAATTAAACAGGAAAATAATCGATGATCTCTGCGAAACAGCCAGGTCACATGAGAATAAAAGAGTCATCTCTACTTGGAGGAAATTCTGGGTGGAAATAGGGATTGTGTTTGTTTTGGCCACAGTCCCTCAGGCCGTCCCAGCAGGTACCCACATGGCGTGGCAAGCGTGTGTACTTGCTAACCCAGCTCACCCTGGCTGTCACAGGATGGTGTTGCTGACATGTTGGCATTCCTCTGCTGCAGAACGGCCACAGACTTTTGCCCAGGGCAGTCATGAATGCAGGTGGCAGGATGCCAGGTGGTAGCTTGCCTCTATGACAGTCTCCTTCCCACAAGGGTGTGAGGCCATCCAGGCTGCAGAGAGAAGTATTTTAGGTACCCAGGTGTGCAGATGTGCCTCATCCTATAAGGAGCTTCATTTCCTCTGCCAGGAGCACAGCTCTGCATCTTTCTTTTTAGATAATAACCAGAGTGAGGCACCTAGCCAGGTGACATTTCACACTGGTTTCTGTTACAGTATTTAAATCCGTTTTGCATTTCCTAATGCAACAAGTATGCAAAAACAGCTGCAGTCATTGGTGCTTTATGCCAGCAGACACATAGGAAGAGTTGTCTTCAGAATACTTTTTTCTTTGTTTTGCTACTAACTTTGTGTTTTCTCTTAAAGGCACTGCTGATAAAAATCTTGGGGCCACATTCTCAGCTGTAGTAAATTAGCTCACCTTTGCTTAGCAGAGATAGTTAAATTTGTGTTTGTTGTTCCTCCAACCTGCGTCTGTAGAAGGAAGTAGTGATGGTGCTTTTGGGTTGGACTTCTCCATTCTTCTGCATATTTTGTGTGCACATACTTCATCTTTTAGTTTGGGATAGACCAGCAGACTTCCTGTGGTCTGCAATACAGGCTCAGGGTGAGCAGAAACCTCTGCAGTATTTCTTCCAGTAAAAGCAACACTTCAGTGTGTGTGGAGCAGGAGACTAAACTGAAATGGGTAGCAATGCTCCCATTAGCTGCAGTCAGCCTTGGATCAGTACTTCCATGCAATTAAATTTGGGTGTGGGTGTTATCCTTGACATTTGCTGTGATTTTGTGTTTCAGTCACCTGTAAGTAGTTCATTTGCATCTGGCTGTATCTCTGTGAAACTCACTGTTTAGCTAAAATACAGAGCTAAAAATATCCTTGTATTCTGTCAAAAGTTTCCTCCAGCAGCCCTCCAGGCATTAACTCTGTTTCTTGAGTTCGTCTCTCTGCCTTGAGAGTTGAGTTACTGTGGAAAGTGAAATAATCTGTACAACAGCTTTCTATTTAGTAAACCACTGGTAGCATTTTATAAGGTAAGCTTTCTTTTGGGATCAAGTAATGGTAAGCCATTATGTTCCTAATTGTATATTAATAAATAAGTACATCTGCTGTTACTTGAAATGAGAAGGGACCATTTACTCCAAAGATCAAGCAGTTTGCCAATTTCCCACCCAGTAAGCACAAGTTGTGTAATTCCGTCTGCTCAGCACTTTTTAGAAGCGTGGAATTCATTTACAGAATGACAATTGTTCTGCTTGCTGTGAGAAGTGATTTAGAGATACGCTGGGCAGGCTTATGCAAGATAGGAGTTGGGGTGAGAGCTGTCATTTTTTTCAGGGATAACGTTGAAGTTGATAGGTTTCCAAGCTGCAAGTTTCATGTCAAACTCTGTGCCACTGATTGCAAATTTCTGTTTTGGGAGCTTGGTCCAAGAGGTCAGTGAAACAAAAGAAAGAAGAGAAATTAATTACCAATAGGCTTACATTCTCTGTTTGGGGATTTTCACCTTCACTGGTGAAGCTTTGGAAGTCACAGATACAAAGGGGTTGAAAGTCCTTTACCTGGTGCTGAGGTCCTGTAGCTATGAAGTGTAGGGTACATGAGTTAGGCACCAGATGTGGCCACATAGCTTCTAGATGACTTAATATAGAAGAGATCTCTTCCATCTCTTGGCCAAACATTATGTGTTTGTCCACAAGGCACTAATGCTGGTGTGGACACAAAGAGTTGGGATGATAAAATGAGTAAACTGATCAGGCTTCTCCAGATAACTTTTTCTTCCTCGTACAAAAAAGTAATTTCTTTCCTTGAAGAGAGCATCTTTATTCCATTGAATGAAAAAGGAAGCTTAGCAAATGTAAGCAAGCAAATGCTAGAATCTGTGCTATTTTTTCTGACTTTTTCCTCAGCTGCGCAGGCAACAGCTGGAATTGTCTCCTGTGATGGGAATCCCATTTCCTATGTTTTGTCACTCATAGGAAAGAGTAGATGGCTGTATGTGGGTGATGCTCCCTACATACAGTGCCTCCCTGCCATGCAGAATTTTCATACCATGTCTGAGGAGTCAGTGAGCCACAACTGAAGTGACACCAAGGAGGTGGCATTATTTACTAAGAGAATTTAGTATTCTGATAGGTAGCTACCTGCCAGCAATCAGAAGCGGGTCTTGTCTGAGGGGAAATGCCTTTAGGTGTTGAACAGGGTGAGTAATTTTATCTACTTTTACCGGGTAAAACCCAAGAGATCAGGACAGGAGGGGGTGCTTCTTTCTTTTCCTGTGGCATCACGCTAACAGTGAAATTTCAGCTACTGTGAAAAATGAGCTTATAAATGCTGAGCTGCCCTGTGCAATCCCTGCTGTAGTGTTTGCCTTTCTACACGGCGCGCAGAGAATTTTAACTAGAAATTTGCTTTTGTTTTCTTGATCCAGTGTACTGTTTCCTCCAGATATTATCTGAACATAAAAAGTATGACGTCAATTGAGGTTCCAGAATTTCCAGTATGAAATGAATCTGCTGGAAGTTTTTTATTTATCTTTTGTCTGCTTTTGAGTAGATTGAGCCAGATCAGTGCTTAATCGTGATTAAACCCATTGTAATCTCCGTTCTTTATAAAATCCCTCTCAGAGCCAGGCAGGTTGTTTATGTGGGAAAGGCTATCCGTAGGAGCGTTGCAGTGTTTGGAAGAGAGCTCCTGTTTTCCATGTATATGGGTAAGCACAAGCTGTGTGTTCACTCACTAGTTGTAGCTGCACTGTAATAGGCTTCACACGAAGCAGTTGGTCACCAGAGCCATGTGTCTGGCCCATCATCTTGGTTAGGATGCTAAGTGGCTGCTCATGTCCTAAATGCTGCCCTTGCAAGCAAACCTTAGTCTTCGCCTTCAGGCCAACCTGGGTGCTGCCACTGATGATTCCTGTGGGAAGCACAGGCCATCCCCACTGCAGGTTCTGTGACTGCTGTCTGAGATCTGCAGGTTAAACCACTTGGAGTGTAGCTGTTGCCTGTGCAGCCAAAATAACCTGTGTTGTCCCCTATGGGGACAGGCTGAGGGAGCTGGGCTTGTTCAGCCTGGAGAAAAGAAGGCTGTGGGGTGACCTCACTGCAGCATTTCAGTACCTGAAGGGAGCCTACAGAGGGGAGGGGAATCAACTCTTTGAAAGGGTAGATAACTGCAGGACAAGGGGAAATGGTTTCAAGTTGAGGGAGGGAAGATTTAGGTTGGATGTCAGGGGGAAATTCTTTACAGAAAGTGGTGAGGTGCTGGAACAGCTGCCCAGAGAGGCTGTGGATGCCCCATCCCTGGAGGTGTTCAAGGCCAGGTTGGATGGGGCCCTGGGCAGCCTGGTCTGGTATTAAATGTGGAGGTTGGTGGCCCTGCCTGTGGCAGGGGGGTTGGAGATTGATGATCCTTGAGGTCCCTTCCAACCCTGGCCATTCTGTGATTGTCACCACTGTTGAATCTTCTGGAGAGCAGCACCTTGC